CCCCTGCCAGTATGAATGGCGTCGGAACCGGCGTGCGGTTTCGGCAGGTGCCGTAATAATTGTAAGAGCAACTTTTTGCTAGTGAAGCTCTTAAGATTTCCATTGCAATGTCGCAGATAGCGTCGCTGAAAGGATCCGGTTGTTGTTAATTAAAACTGACGTATGACAACTTTAGCGTTCGAATGAACGATGCTATTCTTGGAAGTTGTAGCAGTCGGTTCATAGATTAAGGAGAGAAATTCCGGGCAAGTTATATTGATATATATGAGAAAAACGACTATTACGACGTCACTGCACAAATTCTATTTACTGATAATGAACTTATTGACATCTCCACCAAATATTTCTTTAGTCCTTTTGTGCTATTGATTAAAACAGATTTACTAAAGAATACATTTTTATTAACGAAAACCAGAGCATTGAAACGTGTTTACCAATTTTAATATCATTTATCTATCAATCGTAAAAATTAAGTTGGTAATATTATAATAGTTTGAGTGGTAAAGCGATGTGTGTTCGGAAAGGTTTTATTTTGATTGATTATCACGATTTCGTTGCAACATGAAGCGTATACGAGTGATGCTATATTTTGTAGGCAGTCAGAAACTTCGCTGCTTATTATTCAGCTCAAGTATTGCTATTATTCAGAGAGACACAAAAACAATGTAAAAGTATTTAGAACGACTGTTACAATGTTACTCTTAAATGTCTAATGTCTGGCACAGTGGTCTACAAACATATTGGTTCATTGGTCGCATTCTCTATTCCAGCAATGAGAGTAAGATATGTACATATGTTTTAGATATGTTAATAATGTAGGCGGTAAAATGTTATCTTATTTTTGTTAAGTATGTAAACTATTATTAATAAATTGTATAATGCTAAAAAATTAGTACAATTCATTCAAATGTCATTTATTTCTATATCAATTTGTTACATTCAAGATATAATCGATTTTAAACTGTATGTAAAAACATCTTTTACATTGTCACATGTAACTAAAACTTTGTGATGAGTTACAAAATGTAGAAAAATCTTGGTAATTCAATTGTTACTTTCCACCTTGTACCGTAACGAATAATTACTTAAGATCACAAGTTCCTGCGTAGTTTCACCATTCCATCCGTTTTAAAATTATTTACTTAATCCTTGAATATCTGTGTGTAGTAATAATGATATTTATTTTCAGTATCAGCTTATCGATCCAGAAATGTGTACAACGAATATGAGAATTTCACCACCTGTGAAAGGGAATAGTGCATATGTTTAAATGACTAAAAAAAGAATTCCTTCTACAAAATTCTGTGGCTGTATGACACCCAAAAAATGTAAGTAAATTCACAAATATATATCACTACAAATATGAAGCTATCTACACAGCTTTCAGTACAAGTACTTTATTTATTGGTCAAGATCAAATTTCGCAAGCCAAATAATGTTTAGATAACCATGATTTGTCAAAAATCTGTCTTTATTTTTAGTCACGGTAAGTAATGTAGTAATCAAAGTTCCTACAGGGATACATAAGCCGAAGAGAGCCACGGCTACATTGAACTCTACTTCCTTTATTTGTCCACTCTTATCTAAAGACAGATGTAGATTAGTGGTAGCAAAGGTGACTTTCAGTGCTCGCACACCTCTGACTATACTATCGTACAACTGTTTAATTGCGCTTTGATGCCTATGAACTTATATGGATGCACACTGCTCGATTTTTAGTTGTGCAACTAAACAATTGAATGGGCTGCGAGACAATGGGCAATCGCACTATATTTGTACGATATTTAGTCAATATTTCATCATCAAATATTTCTTACAGATATAAAAGTATCAAGTGACATGGGCACGATGTAGGCGATGCAAGGTGCGATGGGCCGGTAGCAGCGCTCCATCATGATGAGCAGCGGCCGACGCAGCCGAGGCGATACGGCCGGCCAATCGGATTCGTAGATCGATTGATTTAAGCACTCGCTCTGTGGAGGTATGAAATAATATCTAACATTGCTGCTAATGCAATTTCTTTATGGCATTTACCGTAACCACTCCTAATGAACTAAGCATAAAATCAACTAAATGGTAGGTAAAATTCTTAGGCATGTAACCAGGCGCTGGCACAATTTCTTACCTCATCTTTAAGCTGTGTTCCGTAGTAGCAAAAGATAAATAATTGTAGTAACATCACGGTCAAATAGACAATCATTGTCACAAACTCCGCTGACATCACATTCAACTGAAAATTAACTTTATTGTACTATCTATACTAATGCGATTAAGATTTAATACGATGACTACGGATTAATAGTGGTAGAGCCTTTTTTAAAATTATTAACACGTATGGGTCAGCGCGCCCGATGCAATACCACGACAACACAGAAGACAGGCGTAAAATTGGTGCATTTCCGCTTTTCGTCTGAAGAGCGTGCGTACCGTAGGTCTAATTTTAGTCATTTTAGTCTAAAAAAAGAGGATTTAACGGCAAAGGAGACGCATAGGAAGGGGAAATATTCTCTTCGCGGTCGCCACCTTCGATTGCGGATAGGTAATGCATCTGCCATTGGGGATGTCTCTGGACAACGATTGTTTCGCCATTTTGGTGGACTAAGGTGAAGCGGCCACTCATGTACCACCTTATTATATAAAAAAATACTTATGAGGAACTTACGCCAATCATCTTGTAAACAGTCATACAGATAATCCAAGCCATGACTAAGAATTGCAGAACCATTGATGATCCAAATACCGATTCAATTTCGTCTACTAGCCTGCGTATAGAAAAAGAACACACGAATTGAGTACCTCATTCTTTTGGGAAGTCGGTCAACATTTTTAAAACGAACTTAAACAAATGTTCTATTAGAAATACTATAAAGATTTAATTAAGATAATTCAGTTAAGACAACCTGGTTGAAATCACTCATAAAGATACGGCCACACTTGCCTACACGTAGATATTTAAGTAATTAAAGGATGGCTAAAAAACTTAATCTTAAGAGCGATAATTTTAATTTTAGTGACTACTTAAAAATCATCAGTCCTAAGTTAAGTCAACGACGATGTGCCACAATCTTGAGTAATATTTATGCCGTCACAAAAACACCTTCTTACCATACAATCAGTTGTTGACGTTTAATGCACATGACCAATCGTTTGTGGAATAAATTCTCCATTCGTGAAATCTCCACATCTTTGTATATTTTTACTTTAAAGTTAATTTCATTGTCAGAGACCTCGTCTTCTGTATCCGCTATATGCATGAAATTGTATCTTAACATTTGCAATTGCAGTTGTGCTTGCATATAGAAGCCGACCGCAATGCAGTCCATAGCCGCCGTTGATAATGATACCCATTGCACCATGAACGCAATGTATGCAACCGCGAATAAAAACCTGAACAAGATGTTTTAATTTATTATTTCAATATTAAACTGGCGTTACTTTACCTTAAACAAGTCGTCTTGATTAAATTAATTCCATGTTCAGTGCCGGTTTTAACAATACCAATGCCCTGGGTTGTATTCTATCTCCTTGTTTACAAAGTAAAGGACCTATAGCGCCCTTTTTGTCCAGCGCCCTAGGCCTTCTCCCTATTGCACTGTATAGGCGACACAGACCTATCGCCGATGTAGACCATATAGACATCAAAGGAGATAGATATATAAATATAGTTATACTTTTACTAAGTCCCGTCTCTCCAATGGTGTTGAATCGTATTTCTCTCTTCGTCTAATATTAATTCCTTCTATGGCAGAACATCTACGCAAGTCAAATATTTTAAAGCAACCTTCTTAATCAACGAATAACATTATTTCTTTGGTTACCTTCATTTGTTAAGGTATTAACCATTGCCCATCATAGACGAATAACGTCTATGGTTACTTACACTGGAAGTCTATCAGTACTGAATGGCCAGTACATGGCAAAGCGAACTTCTTCTCCTAAAAAGCGAGTCATCAGTGGGTATGTCATCCACATGATAGAGCCAAAGATGACAAAAGCCTGGTAGGCTCGGAACAATCGCTTCATCTCTCTAGCATTGCGCAAAATTAGATCCTCGTGTTGTTTATTATTAGGTGCAAATACTGGTCCTGTAATATTTCAATAAACTTTTTTTTATTATTAAATCGATTGGCTTATAAACTTTTAAGAGAGGAACGACAAAATGACATTGTCCACTCTAACCTCCTAAAGCACTACTTCAACTTGTATTGTCTCTTTTTTATAAGAGAATTAGTTATATGAATATCGCAATTATATACAAATATTTTAATTAGTTTGATAATTTATCATGATTAATCTCTAATACCTTTTATAACTTCAGCAATTTGTTCTATTCGATTCCTTCGAACATTAAAGATGGCCAGTTTGCCGAGTGAATTGAAAAGTGTTAACAAGACGTACAGGGTATCAACTAATTCGGAGACATTGTCTTGGATCTGAAACAAAAAAAAAAACACTTTTTAACAAGTTTTGACAGAAGAAACCTAAAGTTAAGATGTGCGAGTAGACCACCACCAACACTAGTTGAGTTTAGTGTCTTACAAGATTTTAAACAAGAAAAGAACTTACTTGGTAAAGACGTATGAGATGTTGAATACAGAATATAAAAAAGTATGCTGCCACAAACATTCTATAGAAGACATGTAACGATTCCTGCCTTTTGGATGTTGGTGAAATAATTTTATAACAACCAAACAATACTAAAAAATCGAAATGGGGTTTGAAAGCCTCGAAATTATTCTTCATAACTTTTGATTTTTATGTAATCTTAATCTATCTGTACGTTAACACTAAAGCCCCTAGTAAGATGTGATATATAAAATACGATTTTATTAAATTATCCATTAGGTAATACAAAATATATGCACAGGATGTTCTAACAAGTAACAATGTTTTTATTGCTGAGTATCTATTACTGTTTTTTTTAAACACTTTTTTATCGTGGACAAATTATTGTTGTAATATTTACTCCTGTAGGTTTGTATTTAGTATTTTGTAAGGGCTAACTTTCATAGAGATTCGTACATTTCCAGTTGCAATATCCAAATATAATTTTAAATGTATGACAACACTCTTAATCCTACCTTCCCTGTCATGATAATAAAGTAACAAACGCTTATCTTTATTAAAATTAAATGTGATATGTCACACATCCTGTATAAGATATTGAAGTGTTAATTTTCTCAATTGATCTATTACTTATTGGCTTATAATGTTGCCAATTATATATCAACGAGTTTATGTAATAAGCAGTTAGCGATTCATAGTGCGCAACGGCAAACTAAGTTCTAACATATGTTCTGGTCACAGGAAATTAGAAAACTCCAATTACACGTTGTATTATGTAAGAATTAATGAGGTTTGTTTATTTATTTTCATGTTTTACTCGACATACTCATCTTTTATAAGCTAAAGGCCGGCAACGCATCTGCAGTTCCTCTGGTATTGCAGATGTCTATTGGCGTCGATGAACATCTCGATGTTCCCGCTGCACTTTTGCCCCTTCTGTTATAATAAAATATACAAAGAAGTTGCGAATCGCTACGCGTAGTCACTTAATATCTAGCTTATGGGGTTTTATTATTACAGCACTATAAAAGACTTTTCTGTGGACCTCCATGTTAATGGTTGTCGGCGGAGAGATGCTGAGAGGTTATAAGGTAAACCGCGCCCTTTGGATTAGAGCTCAAATTATTTCGCGAAATATTAATTTATAAGAAAGTAGATAGTTCACTTACGAACGGATTCAAGTGTGAGCAATTAGTGTGTATCAATACAGAAATTCTTTAGGGTCACGTATTTTAATTTAGTTTTTCGCGACGGTGCACCTTTGACGGAGCGCTTGTGGACACATGGGGGTCCCTTGGATCACTTTGAGAATTATTGTTTTAAATTTATAAACTCTACAAGGACGTTGTCGCGGAAAAAACAAAGTTAATTATATATTTTATTATACATTATGATATGTTGTGGTTTGCAGCGCGTGAGCGTGTTGGATTATGAAACGGATTATTGTGATGTTTTATAATAAACATACGGAAACAATCGCAACGTTATTGTAGTTTCTTAGAATTTTTTGATTTTGTACTCTAATATATTATTCATTTTCATTAATAATGTATTGATATTGGTAAATTTTCAGCAGATATAGGTTTATGTTTAAAGAAATGGTAGCTGATTTCAGACAAAATATTTAGCGTCATCCAAGTTCAAGAATTACATGTTAAAGTAAAATATATTGACATTACTGTGTTTAGCTTATCACACTTGTACATCTAAGTAGTGTTCTTTGAAGAAATATTACATCTCTAGTTAGCACATCTAAGAACTGTGCTTTTTTTAGTTACTTGTTTCATATTTGATTCTATCATTATTTGGCTTTAGAAATGTTATTGACTTATTCCAAAACTTAATGATAAAATCTTTATTATTGAAAATGAATTCTTTGACGAAAAAATCCAATAAAATAGCTAAAATGTCTAAAACATCAAGTCAATATTCGTATACCATTTCTTGTCGGTCCTTATGTTCTTTGACGATCTCTATTCGATCCGATGATCTTTTAACTGGATCATATTGTACAAAACAACGTGCGGACCATCGTAAACGGGCAATAAGATTAGAGATGGTCGTTCCGATTGCATACGAGTCATATGTAACGGTTCTGTGTGGGCACACCGCAATGGAGATAACAGGGTTAACGGGGCGACGAAAGTACGTACGAAACGCACAAGAATGTTACACTGCAACATTACGTTAACTTACATTACGTTCACGTAAGTTCAAGTAACACGGCCAACTAGGACAGTAACAGTCTAACCTTAAAGTTTAACGGAAAATATGGAAGCTTGAAGCTTTGGAGCTCGGAATTAAATATGGAGTGTTGTTGTCTCTTGCAGTCATCGTCACATTGATCTAAAGGTGAAAAATACTCTTTCTGCCTCACCCACTGTGAAATACTAACATTGTCGAGCCGTAACATTAGCGAGATGATAATATGTGGTGTCGACAATAAGCAGAATTTACATTTCAACATCCTGTATAAAATAATATTATTACGTATGATGATTTATAATTAGAGGCAGTGGTAATCTATTCACTGTTCGTGCGGTGGTTAAGAATTATTTGTCAGTAGCGCAACTGTCTAAATGTTTATTTAAATGCAAATATTATTCGGCAATTTTTTTCATTCTCTACTTGACAGATAGACATATTGTATGATGATTAGTTTCTTAGTAGCAGTCTGTACGTTGACGTCACAATATGCGCGAAGGCTGATGGAATATAAAAGATTTGCCTATTATAACTAGATAATTGAAAACGAGGTTACGTAAGTAAAAGTTACGAATGTATATTTGTAATGCCATCAGTTAAAAGGCTCTAGGCGTTTTCTTTATTCCATTACGGGGATCGCATTATTACCAAAGAGTCGGGTCGTCGACCCGTGAGATTTTATGGTCCAAGTAATTGATTAAATCGATCTTTATCGTCAAAGTTTCCATGTGAAATCTACCGACGATGTTGTGTGAAAAGTTGTGGAATAATAACTGCACCACTTAAAGCAATTTGAATTTATAGAACACCTGTGTGAAGCCGTTAATTGTTAATTGGACGATTCGGCCGATGTATTTTATGCTTGAGAAATCTTGGCGATCGAAAAAGACACGACGTAATATCGTAAATGAAATAAATTTTTACTATTATCTTAAACGAATAACCTACATCGCTTTCAATTTCATTCACACTGTAGTCGCATAAATTTAACCTTTTATAGTTAGCGCCTGCTTCGAGTGTTCGTTTTGCATACTCGTAATGTCATATCTCAATTGCGAAATGACTTCTGCTTATTTAACATTACTGGGGCACTATCTAGCGACTGTTATGAATCTCTTTGTGTGCACAATGAAAACTAATAAATTCTAATTTATCTTTCACGCCGATAAGTGTGAGAAATGTATGCGCATTTATTTTACGGAATCTTATTAACTTTCACTAGATCAAATCGCTTCAAATTGTTGCGATTTTTTTGCGTCACGTGATTGAATTTAGTTTTTGCAACTCCAAGGTCAGGAGACTGAGAGAGTACAATATCTTCAGTATTCGGTGTCCGAAAGCGAATGCGCCGCCTCCCGTTTGGGGCGACAACTTTCTGCATACTCTACGGACAACTTTTTGTCCTTTCCCAAACGTAATATCGATAAAATCAATCGTATAACTGAACAGGTCCGCTTTCGACGGTTACGCAAGCGTTGAACGCTATTATTGTTACATGTACAATTGAAGGGTATACGCGATAACTCACGAAAGAAGGCTTTAATTAACGCGTGGGCGTTTATGACTTTTATAGTGTCATGAGCGTAACGACGGCCTCTTGTTTGGGCTTTATAGTTTCGATAAACCTATCCCTTTTTATATTCAGACGGCCCTGTAACGGCATTGTAGGAGTGAAGTGTGAACATTATTATTTGTGACACCTTCGAGTATAAGTTGTTTACACAAATGTTAACAAATAATTTTCATTTTACAAAAAAAAAATTCTGACATATTTTAAGCTAAGATGTATATCTAAATGATTATATATCGCATCTGTAGTTCCTCTGGTGTTGCGGATGACCATGGGCGTCGTTGGCCACCTCGATGTTCTCCACGCTCGTTTGCCTACTTTTATTATAATATAAATCTAAATGATGCCAAAATTAGTCTACATTAAGTAGAAAAATAAGAATTACTCGTTCATTGGCGTTTACACAGCAGTGAATTAAACAGCCGCTGCAAGATGTTAATAAAATCTTGAAGACCAATTGTCTGTCTCCATAATTTATAATTACGATTTAAAATTGCTCTGCGTGAGTATATGTGGCCGCATGGTCTGCAATTATGAGTAATAGTACGCAACTGATTACACATTGTTTATTTAAACAAAGATCACTTTAATTACACTTGAACATAATTACTTAATCCCACTGCATGCTGCATGTCGCTGTTGGTGTTCTCAAACAAACGACTGTGTACACACATTAAGAACAGTACACTGACTTAAGACGTAACGGAGTAACATCTATGAGGATATAGAGTGATGTCTTAAACAAAAATAAAATCGTATAAATGATGGTTTTCTATTGCTAAATGTCCGTTATTTAAATTTGCAAGTCTTCTGTTGCTTTAAATGTTTCCATTTTTTCTTTGTTCTGACTCTTGAATAACTTCAGGAGATTCTCTATTCTGTATTGTATTTACGCCGCAGTTGCAATTGCATCGAAATTAGCTGATGCAATTTAGTTTTGCTATAAGAAGTTGATCATTGTAAGGCAATCCAATACATGCGAAATCCACTATAGACTACTTATGGGGCTATTATTTGAATGTATAGCTTAAGGACATAACACATTTGCGTTGGTGTTAAAGGTAATGCATGCTACATATTTATAAATGTCACCCCAGAGTTCGGACAGTACAGCCTTGGCACAATAACATTTAACACGAGCATTCGATTAGATAATTTGGACACACGATGGAAGCTGCACCTCAGTAGATATTATCTTGATCGATTATAAACAACTAATATTCTCTGAGGCAATAGGCGTGTACTCGCAGTATATACTTTAAGTATTACCAAAACCATTTAAATT